ATAAAATACCACCTAAAGGGAAAGATGAGACTCCTTACAAAATGTGGAAAAATCGTAAGCCGTCTTATAAATACCTGAAAGTGTGGGGGTGTTTGGCTAAGGTTTCAGTACATGAACCTAAACAAGTGAAAATCTGACCAAAGACAGTCGATTGTGTATTTATTGGATATGCATACAGTAGTGCAGAATATAGATTTCTGGTTCATAAATTAGAAAATCCATAGGTATCTGTGGGTACCACAATTGAGTCGAGGAATGTTATATTCTATGAGAATATTTTTCCTCTGAAGGAAAAGGCAGAATCTAGTTCTAATAAACGAACATATGAAACTGCTAGTAGTTTTGTACCAGAGGGTACTAATGATGAACTGAGACGTAGTAAAAGGGTAAAAACGGCTAAAACGTTTGGACCTGATTTCATTACGTACATGTTGGACGATGAACCGAGTTCCCTTAAGGAAGCTCTATCCAGCCCAGATGGACCACTCTGGGAAGAAGCTATAAATAGCGTAATTGAGTCCATTATGCAAAATCATACTTGGGAGTTGGTTGATCTCCCTGATGGTTGTAAACCTTTAGAATACAAGTGGATCCTAAAGAAAAAATATAAAGCTGATGGATCGGTTGACAAGTTTAAAGCACGTTTGGTGGTCAAAGGCTTTAAACAAAAGGAAGGGTATGATTTCTTTGATACCTATTAACAAGTTACGCGTTTAGCGTCGATAAGAGTGCTTCTCTCGATTGCTGTTTTACACAATCTTGAGATTCACCAAATGGATGTCAAAACGACATTTTTTAATGGTGAATTGGAAGAAGAAATATACATGGAACAACCTGAAGGGTTTGTTGCACCTGAACAAGAGAGAAAGGTGTGTAGATTAATCAAATCCTTGTACGGACTGAAACATGCTCTGAAACAATGACATTTGAAATTTGATAATGTGATGTTAACAAATGATTCAAAATCAACGAATGTGATAAATGTGTTTATGTCAAGAGTAAATTAAATACATTTGTGATTGTATGTCTATATGTAGACGATATGTTGATCATGGGGAGTAGCCATGAAGTTATCATGGATACGAAAAGAATGTTGAAAAGAAATTTCGACATGAAAGATATGGGTTTGGCTGATGTTATTCTTAGAATAAGTATTATCAGAACCCAAGATGGAATTGTCTTGTCACAATCTCATTATGTAGAGAAAGTGCTCATAGATTTTATACTTATGACGGTGCACAGTCTAGTTGTAAGACACCTCTTGATCTCAGTATAAATCTGGTAGTCAACAAAGGTCAACCAGTGGCTCAGTTGGAATATTCACGGATAATAGGGAGTCGGATGTACTTGACGAATTGTACACGACCAGACTTGGCCTATCCGGTGAATAAGTTGAGCAGATTTACGAGTAATCCCAATCATGAGCACTGGAATGCTTTGAGAAGGGTACTTAAGTACTTGAGGTACACCCTTGAATACGAGCTAAAATACTCAAGATATCCAGCCGTACTTGAAGGGTACTGTGATGCAAGCTGGATATCAGATTCGAGAGATTCTCACTCCACTAGCGTATATGTTTCCTGTATTGGAGGAGGTGCAGTTTCGTGGAAATCCACAAAACAAACGTGTATAGCTCGGTCAACGATAGAATCGGTGTTCATCGCTTTAGATAAAGCTGGT